TTCCACTCTTTATTTACTGCCAGAACAATATCTGTTCCTATGAAAATCTGACTTTAATCAGTGATATTTCTGTAAAACATTCATTCATTCATCAGTAATATGTCAGACGACAGGTCCACAATCTCTTCCAAAACAGTTCCTCCACTTAATGCGATCTTCTGTTTTTGGAAAGAGACTATCCAGGAAAAGTGATAATGTGGTAGTTTTTCCATTTGCTTTCCACATCGCAGTACAGCAGCCGTTCAAACCACTCTGGTCACGCCTGTTGCTATACGAACTTGAACCATCTCGAGCATCATTTGTTCTGTGCTTCAAGTCGCTGCTGATGACGCTGCTTCCGGCATCAGTTTTTGGTGTCTCTCTTCGTCTGATGCCTACCCTTTGACCTGTCCAGCAAGGAAGGCCCTGCCAGTAGCTACGCTGCCGCTGGTATAGCTCTCAGGGTCCTTAGCATACTCAAACCCCCTCACCAACGAGGGGGCTGTAAAACATATGATCCCTAATTTATCTATAAGTGGAGGAACTGTTTTGGAAGAGACTGTGGACCTGTCACTTGACAGATTACAGATGAATGAATGAATCCAGACACAGAAGTTTTATTTCCGGTTTGGTTCCATGTTCCCAGGACTTTTTAATATTTATAACCAGATACAATTCTTGTGTTCATGGAAACTAGGCCGCAGTATATACAGTATTTTTCTTTACTTTCTCACTCCACCGTGATCTGAACAATTGTGGTAATGGGTATAAATGCACATACACTATTTCATCTCTGCCATTACTTCCTTATGAGAAGCCGCCAATTGTGCAGCCACTCAAGAATTTCCCAGCATATTATGGAACCCAAAGGTTCATTACCGCGTTCACAAGAGCTCTCCACTGGTCTCCATCCTGAGCCAGATCAATCAAATCCATACCATCCCATCTTATCTCTCTAAGATCCATTTTAATATTGTCCACCCACTTACGTCTTGGTCTTGCCGGTGGTCTCTTTCCTTCTGGCTTTCCCACCAATATCCTATATGTATTCCTCATCCTCCCATTCGTGCTACATGCCCTGCCCACCTCATCCTACTTAACCTGATCATTCTAATTGTACCTGGAGAAGAGTACAATTTATGAAGTTCCTCATAATGCAGTTTTCTTCAAACTGTTGTCACTTCATCTCTCTTCGGTCCAAATATTCTCCTCAACACCCTGTTCTCAAACACCCTCAGTATACAATATGTTCCTCCCTTAATGTCAGAGACCAAGTTTCACACCCATACAAAACCACAGGCATAATTATGTAGTTTTGTATTCTAATTTTTATGTTTTTGGACTTAAGGCGAGAAGACAAAAGGTTCTGGATTAAATAGTAGCAAGTATCATCCGAGTTCAGTCTCCTCTTAATTTCCTTCCGAATCAGGTTTTGATTTGTTATCTGAACTGTGCCACATTTTGAAAACATCTTTATATCATGATTTAGCTCTGCATTTTGTTGATGAGACAGCAACATAAACTTAGTTTTCTCTGTGTTTACTTCTAGACCATCCTCCTTACTTGCGTCAATAAAAGGTTGTGTGTTTCTCTTTATGGTACGAGTATAAATATTATCACCCAGTAGATTCACATCATCGGCATAGACCAATATCTGATGTGTCCCGTTTAATTTCGGTCCCACCTGGTTTTCCTGGACCTTCCTAATGGCATATTCTAAAACAAAGTTGAAAAGGAGTGGCGATAAAGCATCTCCTTGTCTTAGACCATTCTGGATAGGAAATTTATCGGAAAAATATTTGCCTATACGGACTTTACTATAAGTTTCTTTTAAACATATTTTAATTCATCTCTGCCATAATACACATAAAAGGAATACAATAGGAGCGATTTACTAGGGTTTGCGTCTGTCAAAAAAGAAAAATTATATAACGGGTCTAAGTATTTGTATGATGATAATATCTATTTAATATTGTCACGTATTCTGGTAACGTGACAAGTAATTAATGGGTTCCAGATTGGATGAAGCGATTTATTTGAGAAATTCCACCAGGCAGAACTACATATAATTATAACACTCAGACTACTTTTACTATAAGACACAAAACAAGTTCGTAAACGTCTGCTTGTTGGAACGATATCTGCCGCTAGTTGGCTTGTGTCTTCTTCCTTTGACTTCTGCGTCTGCTCTGTTCTGCTCTGTTCTCTTATCCTCTCCTGGTTTCCAAGTCCAAGTCACATTGCGACTGACGGTCAGTCCTCTCGGTCTGTTATATTCGACCGTCGGACCGTCTAGAAGACACCTTGTTCAAGGCTTCTGTTTCGCGTTTTCGGTGCAACGGTAGCTAGCGTATTAGTTACTGCGGGAACTGAACTAGTTCTGGTTTTCATTTCCGTGGTAACAGCCTGCCTATGTACGCGTTGTCACGTGAACGTGTTTAATTATCACCCAGGCAATGATGCATTTACTGCTCTTACTGCAGCAGAAACGTGACTACCGGGCCATTGTCTAGCAATGGATTCCAGCTCTGATTCCGATATTCCGACTTTTAGGCGGCACGCTACAATATGGAATTTGAATATTCGCCATATATTGCACTTATTGCCGATCGAGCAACAGTAAGTATACACCTATTTCGACACATAACGAAATTAGGGCTGTGTTGTCAGCTATAGTTTGGCATTGTGCCTCTCATTTAAAAACCTACTAACTGGCATTGGGACAAACGTTTTTATTAATTTCCAGGTATATTTATTACAGTTTTCTGGTACTGGTTGGCGCTTCGCCTATCGTTTAGAAAGCACAATTTCACTAAAGTAATTGCAATTCATGAATTAATGAGAATCAAATAATTTGTTGCTTATATATTGTAAAATTATACTCGTATGTATATATCTCAATGTAAATAAAATATATAAGGTATATTCCTGGACGTATGCTTTATATTTATCAAAGGATCGGTTTTCACTGAAATAAATTAATAATAAAATGGAGGTCGGGTCTCCAATTGGCAGAGTCAACTGGAATAAAAGAGAAATATAGTTAAGCATAATATCACAAATATAGTGCTTCGCGATGATGCGTCTGATTCGTTCAGGAGGTCCCTCATTTGAATGTTATATTCGCCGAAAATTTACTCTGTTCTCTTTGCGGCAAGGAATGAACACAGCATTGGTTTTATTTTCTGGGATATAGCGCTGTGTAGTCCATTTAAAGTCAACCAACGTTTCGGCTGAAAAGTAAGTCAAGCAAGAAGCCAGCATGAAGATGAACTACACGCTATTATATTCCAGAAGTTGTAACTCTAAACACCGCTGTGAAAATCTCAAATCTTGCAAATCCGGGATATACAACGTGAGGTAGTTTAAGACAGTTTAATCCTGCCCACATTAATTCGCCTATTGTAATTATCTAGAAGTGCATAGAAAAACTATAGCATATAATTCTAGTGGCACGAATAAAGGAGATTACGGGTCACGAAGTTCAGTGACGTGTACTGTGTAGGACTTTGGTAAAGTAGTTATGAAGAAAAAACAAACAGAAACAAACGTAAGCGATGTATTGGAAGTTCATTCTTAAACAGACAGCATTTACCATTATTTTCCCATTCCGAAATTCTTAAACACTAAATGATTATATGTATGTATTTTCATATTTATTTCGCAAGGGTTCTGCGTCTGTCTTCAGCTTGAAAAAATTCGCTCCGAAATATATTTAAGTAACCTATTAGGAAGTATGTTCAAAGGTAGAGAGGCATTTAATTAAGCACCACATCATGAAGATGTATGGGGGAGAGGAGGTGTAGCTCCGCCATTCTTGACATGTGCACTAGATGGAGGTGAGTGGTCAATTTCAAGACACGGACGCTTTTCCCGTTGTGAAAGGGCCCCCGACGTTCCTATTGAATAAGAAGCTGGGCGGACCCAGTGCTAGTCTGGACGTTGTGGAGTATAGAAAAATCTGTTGCCCTTGGCGGGAATCGAATCCCGGCTGTCCATCCCCTAACCCGTCCCCATACCGATTGGATATCTATTTTTATTAATATGTTCAAAACATGACTTAAAGTACTTCAATGGCCAGTACTGATAGCGGCATTGAAGAATATTGTGGATTCATTTTAACTTTTAACTAGTGTAAGAATTACATTTTACATTGTTACAAAAAGATTTCCGAAAGGTTATATCCTTTGTTGAAATAATAGTGGTGAATAGTGGAATGAAATGGAAGGAGAAAATATAAATTCACGGTAGCTTTGTCCTTAGGTCAACATTCTTTGATCAAAGTAACACGCCTCACTATATAGGTTGTTTCATGACTTTAGGGCATAACTGCAGGAGGTGATTTCCTAGGTCTTTGTGATCAAAAACGTTCATATAAATATGTGTTTGGACGGTTACGGAATTACGACCGTTTTTTCATTCCCGTACACGCCCTCGTGTGAACCGCGTCTATCATCTGACGGGTCGCTATTTTTAGCCAGCTACAGACAGAGCGTTCACGTTATCTCGACACTTGAGAGGTACCTAAGGCGTGGTGGGTTGGTATGTAACCGCGCGGTTCACAACCGAGCGGCATCCTGTGTTGCGGCCGGCGGTGGCATTTTCGAAAATCAGCTTTAAGCACCAATAAATTCAAATTAAAGGTAATTTCACGAAGTTAACTTTACATTCATACTTTAAATGTATCATGTACGAGTATTATGCTGGTTTATTATTTTGTTCCGTTTATTGTCAGTAATCATTACCTTCTATTCTGAGTTTAAAACGGTCATAACTTCGTAACCGTCCAAAGTCGGACACATGTTTATATGAACTTCTTTGATCACAAAGACCTAGGAAATCACCTCCTGCAGTTATGCCCTAAAGTCGTGAAACACTCTGTATATAACTGCTCCTGCTTTCATATAAAACAAAAAAAATTTAGCTTTAGGAAATGTAAGAAATGTGTAAGACTTAATTTTACACTTCAAACACAACGCAAGATGTGAAAATACCGATAGAAATTCGTCCATTTAACTTACCCAACGAGGAGTGTAAAGGTTGCCTTGTATCACTGCTCAATAATATCAAGTAATATGAATATTACATTAAATAAAACAAAAGTACCTATTTGCTGTTTACTCAATTTCCACACAGCAGACTGATAATTCCTCTTTCTGACGCGGAGAAACCGCAAAATCCGGCAGGAAGTAAGACTGTAATCTCATTTCCTTCATGCCTTTTCTGCTTTTCTTGGTACAGCAACCCCAGAATATTGATGAACGCTTATAGCTTTATTACCTTCTGTGTCGAGATTTATCTTCATGTGACAGCGCGTCAATGAGGTTTGTAAGGCACCCATCGGTAATCTCCAGAGTATTTTGGGGTAGAGGATATCTGTCAGAACATGAAGGGTAATGTAAGGAACTTCATCCCTCATGCCACTTTTCACCTGATATAATAGCTCAAATGTTGTATTTTTTCAAACATTCTTAATACCCGCAGGTGCCAGTTACTAATATATATAGTATATACAGAGTGTCCCATGAGGAATGGACCAAACTTCGGGAGGGTGTTCCTTATGTTAAAGTATTCCGATATAACCCAAAACACCTATGTCCAAAGTTGAACGGTTATGGAGATAATGGCCAGAGAAGTGTCAAACTTTGACCGGCGTTGCACACTTGTTGATTACAAAATACATATTAAAACTGGCAGGAATATGTGGATTCTGTAATGTTAATAATGTACGTAACATCAAACTAACTTGTGAGTGACATGAAGCCATAAAATTGAAGTACAAAATACTCGCTCGCCATGTCATAATTGTCTTTAGGGTTTCCAAGCACTATACATGACACATGAATGACAAGCGCTGACGTAACGTGGCTGACTGCGCGTTTTGATAAAGCCAACTACTTACGTACGGCTAGGGTGAATCACGGCACTCAAGGACAAACATAGATAAGGCCTCTCAGCTGAGAGGTACAGTGCGTGGACCTGCCAGAAGACCACACTTTTCTTGGGCCATTATCTCCGTAACCGTTCAACTTTGGACATAGGTGTTTTGGGTTATATCGGCATACTTTAACATAAGGAACACCCTCCCGAAGTTTGGTCTATTCCTCCTGGGACACCCTGTATATATATATATGTGTGTGTGTGTGTGTGTGTAGGGAATTTGGGCACGCGGTAGCGTAATTAGTTGAGGAACAATGCTATAAGCCGGAATGTCGAGGTTTCCAATCCCGATGAGGTCACTGAATTTTTCAGTTGACCTACCCATTCCACCCGCACTATGGCCCTGGGGTCGACTCAGCCTCTAACAGAAATGAGTACCTGGAATCTTCCTCGGCAGTAAAAGACGGCCGGCTCATAAGGCTGACAACCTGCCATCTGTGAGCCGATTATCTAGAACATATGGGAACCTTGACGTCTCAAGACACTATGGGCCTTCAAGGCCGATTACAGAGATAGCTTTGCCTTTTTTTTTTAATAAGGAATTAATTCAGGAAGATGAAGTAAAAATATTTCAGAATAAAAGTGATATAAAAGCTGTTAAGGTAAGTGATAGATTTAATGTTCCATAAATATATAATTTGTAACAAATCTGTAACCACCGCTATTTAAAAACAACAGCCGCAAACAAACTATTTTGAATGAATGAAACACTGTAATATTTCAAAGCTACTAGTTCTCTGGCTGCTGAGACAGCAACAAACCAAGGTTTATATACACAATGAAAGAGAACTCCGACTGTTGCAAGATCCGTAAAGACAACTATTTTGCAACACAATTTTTGAGAAACATCTCGAAGGTCTGCATCACTAAACCCCTACAAATCCCAGCGATTGCCACGCGTAATTTATTTTCCGTATCCATGTGCGGAACAGATCTGATTCGAAGCTGGCCACTGCCCTTGTTCAGCCAGGAGATCAATTATTGTCTTATTGGCTAATGGTCAAATATTGTATATTTGTATATTTATTCTTAGAAACATTCAGTTACTCTAACCTGCACTGTCTGCCAAGGGATTCGCCCGTCATACCAGCTTGTTCCTTGTCTGGATAAAACACTATTGAACGCTTAGTGAAATTCGTGAAGGGGGGATTTGATATTGCAAGATATTTCTAAACAAATAATATTAAAATAATAATTTAGTAGATAGGCACTAATGTATGGGTGAAACCTAACGTTTCCATCTTCAGGACAGAAGAACAATGATGGAGCAGGAGGTTCCTCTTAAACGTTATGTAGCAAACCACGCGGTGTCACTACGCAGGCGGCAGTATCTTCGTGGTCACAGTCGTGTGAACGCCAACCCTCATATGCTCATATGCCTCATATAGACCATATAGACTCATGTACAATCCATGCGGTCCATGAGTATCCATAAGTTTGTTTTGGGATGTTGGTGTGCAAGGAAATTCCTTGTAAAGTTGTTCTTTAAAACACACGGAGAAAAATTATAATTGTAAGTGATGTTTGTGACCGTTATTTTTTTTTTGTGGAAATGAAGATCATCGTAATTTAAGGATACTGGAATATAATTTATAAAATCAAATGTCCGTAGTCGAAATGCATCCAGCGTATATTTTTGTTAGGTGTTCCTAGTGGTAATGATGTAAACGTGACGTTGGTTTGTAACACGGGTTTAATTTATAATATGATGGGAATTTTGAATTACTTTTAGCGGTGACCATGCAGCCCTGAGTATGGAAAGAAGAACCAGAAAACAAAGTGGCGAGTTTGAGTTGCCAGACGCCATCTTGTTTTTATTTGATAGTTTACGTTGCTGTGTGATGTGAGTTGTATTTACGGATCAGCTGAAGGTAAACAACAGATATTTTAGAAGGTGTATGAACTTTGTTGTCATTTAAGTATGTAATATTAATCCCTTTCCCGTAGTATTTACTAATTTTTATGTAATGTAGCCGAAGATTAAATGATTGACATGGCGATGGGATGAAACACGGTATGTTGATTTCTGTATTAAGTTATGAAGTCTGGCTACATTATAGGGACCGGAAATTCCTAATGTTGATGACAACAGTGGCGATGTGCTCCAATTTCAAAATAGGATTTGTTATATATGCAGGAGTTTGCCTAAATATAATACAAGAAATCAGTTGCTCTTGAAACAAATAGGTTATATTTTATTTTGTAAAACATTTAGAGTAAATTATGTAGCAGCTAAATTGTTATTGCACTCTGGCTAACTTATTAATGCTGTACCTTACTCTATTGCATGGAATTTATAGTTAGTACTCTCTTTGAATAATCTCAAACATGTACAGAGAAATAAGATCTAGAAGTTGGTGACAGTGATATATTAATACAAGTATTGTGCTTGTGGACATTCATTTATTCATTTATTTTACATTCCATAGATCCACAGTACAACAGGTAGGATATGGAACACGTCAAGTGATACATATATAAAAGACAAATAAGCCAATAAATAGAATAAGATAAAATGATGACAGACATATAAAAAGTTCTATTGCTAATAGTTTTAAAACTTGGTGACAATAAACATAATTTATTAAACTATATATAAATTCTTTGGTATGTCATTGACTTGCAATAGCCTTGAATTGAAGATATTCATCAATGGAATAAAAATAATGTGTATAAAGAAAGTGTTTTAGACAGGCTTCAAATTTCCATAGATTATGAGATATATCTTTAATATGTGGAGGAAGATTATTAAATACAGTACACTCCCTTTTGGTAAACTGTAAAATTTACTATAGGCAGACAAGAATTATTTGATTGTCTTGTACCTGTATTATGCTTTTCTGAATTTAAAATAAAGAGATCCTTGATATTGACCACAAACAACATGAGTGAAAAAATATATTATCCATCATCTTAGTTTTTATTAAAACACGACGTTATGGAGACTGGAATCTGTCTCTGTCTTCAGGTAAACGCCTATTCAGTTGAGCCCAATTGATAGAGCTACTCCCTATCTCCATTTGATAGGGAATAGCTCTAGTAATTGGGCCTAAATGAGTAGGCTTTTACATGAAGATGGAGCCGTTGTATGTACAGATGAGGTTTCCAGCCATTTATCATAATAGATTTTCTCAGTTTGATCCCATATCACATGGTGATATATGCCTATTAATACTTAAAATCTGCAGACTTCACATACAAGTGCAATACCATTTAGGTGTGTTATTTTTAATGTACTTTTATATTGGCTATAACGTTTGTTCCTTAGTGCTTGAATCAGTCAGGATTCTTATCCCTACAGGGAATGTACTGAGTATTTATGTACACGTTGTTTCCTGTAATAATTGCACATGTTTTCTGATGCTAGTGCAGTTTGTATATTTGTTGATACTTTTAGCAAAATTATCTTTTAATCCAAATTATGTAATTGGGTTGTGTAAATGATTTTTGTCTTATCAGTGTTTCATTTTTCACTTGTGCTGACTTGCAACTGACAGGCCATTGAATGTTAATAGAGAGCAATTTAATTGCATAAAATGGGTCTGACCAACACAAATAGAACCCAAGAAGAAATGTGAACTATCTGTAGGTATATTAAGATTGTCTTCTGGAATGTGACACCTTGAAGTTTGGTGGATAGGTACTAACATTTTGGAGAAGCACAATAGATCACTGAAGGTCGCAGTGCGAGGGCTGGTTTTTATGGCTCACCCCTCATACTCATACTTAACATTTAGAGGAATCCACTGCCTCCATCCTTAATGTAGAAGAGTAGTTAAACAACAACACAGTGCGCCACAAACACATACAGGACATCATCAAAGAACCCTCGTCTTGAGAACGACAAGGCTGCACAAGTTTGGCCCCCATCAAGAGAAATAATAAGAAAGGTGACACCACGAACCTACTTGGTTTATAAATTCCAATAAAATCCTAACAAACAAATTACAGATATTTTAATATATTGGAACAGCCCCTGTAGTTGTAAAAACTTAGATTTTGTACCCAAGTGTATATTATTAATATATTGTAACGTGTTTTTGCCACTGAAGACGCCGTTCAGATTGTTAATTGATTTATTTAACAACCTACAAGTCGTAACTACAATTGATTATAACACTGTTACGGGTTTACACAATTTACAAACCTACACACAAATCTGTCCACTCTGTCCTCGGTAGTCTA